AGAATGTATTATGAAATATATTTATTTTATTTATTTATTATTCTATTTATATACATTTTTATTTATATTATTCCTATACACACAAACGTCCATTGTCTTTGCAAATGTAAGTTCAGACTACTATGGAATTACATTCTGATATCATCACCTTACCATGGTACTGCCAGAGTACTTTCATGTTTCTTGTACCGTGGCATTTACATATTACTCCAAGGTACTTCAAAGAACACTATGATACTACCATAGTACATCAAAAGCATGTTTTTTCATGTAAGACCACAGTATTGGTAGTGCCATGGTACAATTAAACAAAAATGCTGTCATTGCTTAAATGATTGGCTCCTTTTTGCTAAATTGTTAGTTTTTCGTCATTTTGCTCATGTCGGATAAAAGTGTCTGCTGAATGAATTAATCTCGATGTATGTAATATGTACTACACTGTTACATGTAAAAAAAAAACATGGTGATACCAATTCAGTATAGTTGCATTGCTGATATTGTTGACTAAATTCTTAGTGTTCTTCCTTGTTTTGCCAGTTGTTTTGGATAAAAGTGTCTGCTAAATAAATAAAATGCACCACAATACTTATACCTCCTTTAGAAGTGAGCGTCCTTTTGAGTCCGCAGATATTTGGATGCACTTTACATATCAAGACTCATTCAGTGTGTGTATGTGAATAACGCCCTGGCAGGCTGACAGTTCGTATGATTCCCCTGCTCTCAGCTGCATGTAGATAATGTCCTACATGCATGCATGAAGCAGCACTCATGTGTGACACTGAATTAGACCACATCACGCTACGGAAAATGCAGTCTGCATCATCTGCACACGAGACGTGAACGCTACAGTTTTATCACGTCTGGCAAACCTGAATTCTGCCGATTGGACTCGGATGTGTCCGATATGAAGGTGGGCACGGGTGGGATTACGTTAAGTGCAGCATGTGCATGGTGCGTTTCGCTGACTTAACGTTTAACGCGCAACCCCACAACCAGCCCCCCTCTCCCCACCGGTACAGTGACACATTCATGAATTTAATTCCTCTGATGATTTACCGTAGTATGTGGCTTGGCTGCGATTTAATTTTTCATAGAGAGAGTGCAGAAGCTCTGGAAGCACTTAAGTGCGCAGTGGATAGGGATGGGGTTGCAGGGTGCGGGGTTAGAGGAACCTGTACGGGATTTTCCCCCTCCTGGCTGATCCTGGCACAGTAGTGTGTGGTTTGGGTTTGTCTCTTGTTCCTTTTTCTGATGGTGTCCTTTCTGCACCAGCAAGATCAGAGAGCCTGCGTGCAATTTTAATCAGTACGGAGAGCGGGGAATAGATAGAGGGGCAGAGAGAGAGAGAGTGAGACAGAGAAAAGGGGGTGGGGGGGATTGATCGCCACAGAGAGAGAGAGTGTGTGTATGTGAGACAGATAGAGAAAGAGAGGCATAGAGACGGGAGGGAGGGGGGTTTGGGAACGAGCAGAGCGTATATGCCGTGCAGCGGGTCTCAGCATCAGACGGCATATGGCAGCCCTGCAGAGCTCTCGGAAAGGACTCTGTCAATGAGAACTGGGGTAAAAAGCAAGTCAAAGAGGAAAGAAAGCCAGAAACAGTGAGTGGACATGATGCGCAGCTGAACTGAGATGTCTTTAAGGTGATTACCAGCTGTGACCGATGCGCTACCGGTGGCTTTCTGGAGGAACAATATGTCATTTGGATGTTTTGCTTTGTGAGTACTGAATGCAGCTGCTGCTGTGATTGAGCGTTCCCAAATCAGGGATGCAGCAATCCTTGCCCCCAAGTGCAAGACCCTTAGGATCATCTGCAAGAGGAACGGAGCGACCAGAGCAGGGGGCTGGGCTGCAACAAGAGGGACCGTGCCACAAACGGGGCTTTCTTATGGGGTTATCCGTCCATTGTTGGAGCTCACCTCATTTCGGTTGGATGTACCTCGCTTTGATGGCGTGCTCCATTCTGGTATGTTAGCCCGATGCGGTGCGTCTAAGCTCGGAGGGACCAGCAGTCCTTGGATTACCGTGACCGGAACGCTGCCTGATCGGGGCTGAAGGACCCTCAGGAGCGTTTTCTAGAAGAACAGAGCAACTTGTGCAAGGGGGCAGGGGTGCGAGAAGAAGGACCGAACCATCAACGGGGTTTCTTATCAATTGTTTCCATTGGATCAAGGCTTGGTTTTACCTTGTTTCGATGGTGCATTCCGCTCTGGTATGTTAGTCCAGCGAGGTGCGTCTAAGCTTGGAAGGACCAGGAGAACTTGGATAACCGTGACCAGAACGCTACTTGGACTGCTTGGGGAAGTGGTCAAACCAGCTGCTTTCTAATGGTGGGAGGGGTTCCTCATCAACAACTCGAGAGAGGAATGGGAATATGGGCCAAGAAGATCTTTCGAAGGACGAGCTGGCATCACGCAAGGCTTCTGGTGGCATTTTGGTGGACTGTTGATCAATGAGTTGGACGGCTTGGCTTGGGGATCCATGACTCTGTTGTAGCAAACTCACAGACATTGTTATTTTTACTCTCCAGCTGTTCTTAGGGCTTTACTAAAGGGTTTTGCTTCCAATTTCAAGGACAAGTCTGTTTTATCGAGCCTTGCGTTGTAGAGGAATGTTTGTTTCATAGGGGCAGATCAGGGGCAAAGCAGGGCGCACTTTCCTGCAACTTCCTTGTAGCTTCTCGTAGATCTCGATATTTTGCTGCAAGCCAAAAGCTCTCCTTGAACTTTTATGATCTTCCTGTCTGGGCAACGTGCTGACATCCCTCGGCGTGATGGTTTGAATCAGATACAGAAAAGCTGAGTAGACGTTGCTTTGTTTGTTTGCCCTCTTCTTGAGGATCGACGCCAAATTGTCCCAATTAATTGACTTGACGCTCTTCTTTAAAGGGCTACCTGCCAAGGTCTACCTCCATACTCCATCAGCCTTGGCCCTAATCTCCATTGCAGTGAGGGCTTGTGGAGGAATCTCCATTACAAGTTTAGTGTGTAAATCTGGGGCCCTGCGTCTAGCGGAGGCCCATCGCTCAAGCCTGGACACTGCCTTGCTGTTGCTGCTGCTGCCCTCAGCTCTGCTGGCCAAAAATGATGTGGCAGTGCCACATCTCGGCCTCCGAGTGCCGCTGCTACAGACTAAATGGTTTTTCACTGCTCAAACGTCATCCTTTGTCGGCAGATGCAGCTGGGAGCCGCGTGCTGGAGCAGTCGGTGGGGGAGTGGCTGGAACACGTGGGCTTTCCTCAGTATGAGAGCAAACTGGTGCTCAATGGCTTCGATGACCTGCGCTACATGGTGAGTGGCTTTTGTGTGTGGGGATTGATTGGCACAGCAGGTTGGTCAGGGGATGTAGTGAGTTTCTATATTTCCAATTTATAAAGGCTGAAAATATGATAAAAAGTCACTTATATATATAAGCTATACTATACTATATATATATATATATATACTGTATATATATATAGGAAAAAAGTTTATTTTTAAGCTCAATGTAGATTCAATGTATAATGTGTTTTTTAATTCTGTAATATTTAATTGCTATAATAAAAAAAAAACTGTTTATAATTTAAACTAAATAATTCCCTATTAAAAGTTTATTTTCAAAATAAAAGTATAATTTCAGTGCTTCAAAATAAAAGGGTACATGACATTTCAAGCATTGCCTTGCATTTTGACTTGCTATAAGCCATTTAAAAATATTTTAAACAGTATTTTTCTACAAATTCTGCATTTTTATGGTCTTAGACTACATGGAAGATTTGTTCATTTAAAACATTTAATTTATCACATTGCAGGACTATCTAAGTAAACTACAAAGCAAAACAGCTCAGATATTAAATAGATGTAAATATTTCTTAAATATAGGCCTATACATGTATGTGTGTGCATTTACATATACAGTACGTATAAATATGCACAGTATACACATATTATGTAAACAAACTTTTGTTTTGGATCCAATTCATTGTGATTAATCAATTTGACAGCACTATATATATATATATATAATTGCATATAGATAGCTAGATGGATACATATTTTATATGTATATGTGTGTAAATTCATAAGAGGTAATTGGTTACTGGTTTGAATATTCTTGCAATGCGCTGACTAAGTGTCTGATGTTCACAAGTACTAGATGTACCTGAAAGTGTCACTTTTATGCAACGCTTGATTGTTCTTGTAAAGCAGAAGCTAATGTGAATGTGCATACGTTCAGGGGAGTAACGTGATGGAAGATGGGAACCTTCAGGAAATTGGCATCACCGACCCAGGCCACAGAAAGAAAATCCTTCATGCAGCAAAAAGCCTCCCAAAGGTAGCGCGTTTCAGTCCCTAAAATAGTATTTGGACACCAAGTGTGAAACCAAGTGGCATTTATTTTTAAAAGATAGCACACTTTTCAAGCACGCATTTCATCCACTTCCACTTAAAATGACCTTGGGACTGGTTGGTTAAAAGTCATTGCAAATATATCTCAGAAAGTGAAGTTAGTTGTGAAAAAAGATTTTGTTTGCACTTGGTTTGATATTTTGTCATCTAATGCAATCACATTCTGACATTTAAAGTGTTACTTAAGTGTCCAAATGTCTCTCCTGGCTTCTCAGAGTGAATTATATTTCCTACGCTATGCAATTTATTTTGAGACGGCGTTTTTCTCCTCCTTTAGGTGAAAGCTCTGGGGTGTGACGGCAGCACATCTCTGTCCTCATGGCTGGAAACTCTGGGTCTTGGAGAGTATCTGCACAACTTCCTGTCTAGCGGCTACCGCACCCTGGACTGCGTGAAGAACCTGTGGGAGCTTGAAATTGTTAATGTAAATGTGCTTTTCATGCTGGTGTGTAAGCTTTTGTGTGATCTGATACACTGACAGTTCTCTTTTCTCTATGCAGGTGTTGAAAATTGGCCTTCTTGGTCACAGAAAAAGAATCATAGCCTCAATAGCAGAGCGACCGTATGAGGAAGCACCTTCAAAATCCAACCGCTTTTCCCAACTCAAGGTAATAGACACAATTTAGCATCATTAAGGCCCAAAATGGATTTAAAATGTCAATACATGATATTCAGATATAACAATAAATATGCTTTACCTTGCTAATGTGTATCAGATTCAGGACCTGTTATCTCAAAATACGTCACCGCTCAGTTATATGGACCCGTACACCAGTCGCTCCATGGATATGTTGCTTCCGTTGGGAGAATCAGGCAGAAAGAGCCGAGCGTTGGATCAGGATGGCAGTATCTCCCTTCGCTCCTTCGGGGAAAGATCACGCTCACATGTAAGCACCTCTGTGACTAAGATCACTGTGATTATAATGACTCCTTTCAAGTAATGAATCACATTGGAGTCATTCTGTGAGAAATGTTGCAAACCGTGTAGTTCTACATTACATAGTAAATAAAAATGCATCGTTTTTATTAATATTTTGAATCAGTTTTTCTAGATTGTCCATTTTAATTTTAATTTTAGATAAAGTTTTAGTAATTTTGTTGTGTGTTTTTGTTATTTTTAGTAGTTTTTGGGGCTTTTTTATGTTTGTTTTTTTTCATATTTTTTCCATTTTAGTTTTAGTTGTTTTAGTACATCAAGATAAACTATATTAAAATGAGAAATATTGCCTTGGCAGCTAGCTTAAATTAAAAGTTTTTTTTTATATTTTATATTATTTCAGTTTACGTTTATTTTATTTCAATTAACAAACACCATTTTTTAATGGTTTTAATTTAATAACCCTGATTCTTAACAAACACTGATGCAATTGTAATTCTTAGAAATTAAGGTAATACAATTTTTTTTATATTAAAGTAATTATTAAAAAATAATAGTTAAAAAAATTTGTACTTGGGAGCATGGACATTTTAAATGGGACATTTTTGGACCTAAATAACAGAAAAGAAAAAGTATTGTTTTCTTATTATTTAATATATTTTGATTGTTAATTTTTAACAAAAAATCTCTTAAAAACTGTTTTTTTTTAAGAAGAAGCTTATTTCTGTTAAATGAAATGAACATTTCAGTTCAGATGTAGTTTTAATACTAAAAGTGATTTTTTTTCATGAAACATATTTAGTAATATTTACTATTTATGTTTCCACATGCTCTCTAACAAATTAGTTAAAATGGTTATGAGGTCTTTGTGCAGAATTCATTCTTGTACATGTTTGAATGCTGTTACCACGGGGCACAGTAACACGTCTGAACTCCACAGAACATGAATAATTCATACCGCTTTTAAATAAGGCAATTTTTCAATAATTTAAACTCATTATGCTTTTAAATTTATGGAGGAACAATAGTAAAATGCTGCAAAATACCATTAAATATAACTCCACTTTGAATATAAATGTACAGTGTATCTTTTTTTTATTTAATGTGACTTTGACTCAGATTGCACTTGTTGTTTTCCATTAGGACCGTCATGCAGATCGACATTCGCGTCTAAGTATTCGCCCTTCCAGCCACTCTACCACATATACCACAGTCTCCACCTGGCACCATCACCCTGAGAAACTTATCACCGAGTCCTGCGTTTATGAGGCCAAAGTAAGTCTTTTCTATCAGGATTTGTCAGTTTATACACTTCACAATAGATTTATAGACATATGCCATTTTTTTCTGATAGGAATGGATTCCAAGCTTTTAACAAAGGGTTGGTATGATAGTAACTTTCTTCAGTTGCTCTCATACACCCAAAACCTATCAGAGTAAAACATTATTTTCATGTTTGTGTTTTTATCAAAAAAGCTGAAATCTGATTTAACAAAATAAAGATACAGTATTTCAAAAGGAATAGTTCACCCATAAATCATAATTTGCTGAACATTTACACACAAACTCTGACCATCTAAGGTGTAGATGGGTTTGTTTCTTCATGGGAACAGATTTTGAGAATTTAGCATTCCATCAGTTGCTCACCAGTGGATCCTCTGCAGTGAATGGGTGCCGTCAGAATGAGAGTCTAAACAGCTGATAAAAACATCACAAGTAATTTACACCACTCGTCCTTCAATTAATGTCTTGTGAAGTAAAAAGCTGCATGTTTGTAATCAACAAATCCAGTCAGTCTCTTCTGGGCATAGTCCATAATAACACTTCATCCAGTAAAACATCCATCCCCTGTTGTCCTCTCAAATCAAAATTCACACACACATTTATTTAGAGCTGTTTTGGCTTGTAAATAAACAGTGCTTGATCTGTGCAGATTTCTCTCCTGATTCAGATGAGATGACTTTTTCACTGGATAATGCAATATTATGGATAGAGAACTCGAATTTTAGCCGCAAACAACAGTTTAAGGTTAAACAGTCTTAATGATGGATTTGTTTCTTACAAACACACAGCTATTTTGCTTTTTAAGGCATTGATTGATGTACTGGAGTGGTGTGGATTACTTGTGGATTATTGTGATGTTTTTATCAGCTGTGTGGACTCTCATTCTGTCGGCACCCATTCACTGCAGAGGATCCGTTGGTCAGCGAGTGATGTGATTCTAAATTTCTCCAAATCTGTTTCCATTAAGAAACAAACTCATCTACATCTTGGATGGTCTGTTTCAGCAAAATTGAATTTGCCGGAGGATAGTAGAGAGAGGTCAGGAAATGATGGTGGATCAGGAAATGACTCGAGCTGGCTTCAGACTCACAGTGCCTGTGTGAGCACCACAGTGTGTGCACGAACCAGTACGGCTCAGGTCATCAAGATCAAAACCAGAGTAAGACAGAGTCTAGATTTAAATAATAAAAGATCCATTAATGAGCACCACATTAAAAATTAAAGTGCTCTTTTCAACGTCATTGTTATTTTGGGATGAAACTGAGAGAGGAAGTATTATGTAGCATAATAGCGATAGATATATTAATAATGATAGATTTATCGATTAATAATATTGCAAAATATTTCTGTTTCAATTCAATGCTGTTCTTTTGAACTTTCTATTCATTTTGTTTTCCACAAAAATATAAAGCAGGACAACTGTTTACAGCATTGATAATAATCAGAAATGTTTCTTGAGCAGCAAATCCACATATTAGAATGATTTCTCTGTGACACTGAAGACTGGAGTAATGATGATGAAAATTCAGCTTTGCATAAATTACATTTGACAATTTTTATCAAATAGAAACATGTTATCTTAAATTGTAGTAATATTTCATAAAATGTCAGTTTATTAAAAAAACATCTGCTAGGTGAATAAATGTACATTTCTGACTAAATATATTTTTCCATTCTTCCTTTTCCAGTATTTAGGGTCTGTGATCATCCGAGACCTACGAGGAATTGAATCTACACAGGAGGCCTGCGCTAGAATAAGGGTACATATACAGATATATTAGTCAATGTGCTATTATATAATGTCTTACATTTTTGTTACGTTTTGTGCACAGTTTTGTGAGTCTGCTTTGGTCCATTAATCATTTTTTAAATAAATTCTTGCCTTCTAATGTTTTCCAGAAATCAAAGGATCACCGGAAAGGTCCCGTCATAATACTGAATATCACCTACAAAGGAGTCAAGTTTGTTGACGCAGCCACCAAGGTAAGAGCAACTGCCAATACATACTGTAACTAAAGTTAACATGGGTTCACCATGTTAAACTAGGAGAGTTAAACTGTTTCTCATTATTAGTGGTGTCTGCAAAGCCATCACTATCAGAGTTAGAGATTTGTACGACAGTGACCCATCCTGCACTATTTGTGGCACAGACATGAATGATAGATTATGGTTATAAATGGTTACATAGCCCTATGGTTATGCATCAGTGAAGTGCTCATGTCTTTTGCGGATGTTTGAAAATTGTGATGGACTCGCTCAGTATTTTTGTACTTTTGCAGGCGATGGTTGCAGAGCATGAGATCCAGAACATCTCTTGCGCAGCCCAGGATCCGGATGACCTTTGCACATTTGCATACATCACAAAAGATCTGAAGTCTGGTTATCACTTCTGCCATGTCTTCACTACAGTAGAAGTGGTGGGTGTTATTTTTATCTAGGGTTGCAAATGGGTGTGGAAAATTTCTGGAAACTTTCCATGGGAACTTAATCTGGGGAATTTTGGAAATATTCCAAGTGGGAATTTATTGAAAATTTGGAGAAATTTAAATAAGCTGTATCATATACAATCATAAATATAAACAATATGGTCATAAGCTGACATGCATGCAAACTAATACAATAAAAAAAAAAGAAAAAAAAAAAAAGACATTTCTGACTTTGATTTAATTGTAAGTAGAACTTTAATAAATTATATCATTGAGCAACACAAAAGCATGTGTGTGTTGATGAATAAAAACTTTAAAAAAGATCAGCATTTATTCAAAATAGAAATCTTTTCTAACTATATACGTATGTCTATACTATCTCTTGTTATCAATTTAACACATCCTTGCTGATTAAAGTATTCATATCTACTGACTAAAATTTCTACTAAAAAAAACTACTGACCTCAACTTTTGAACGATAGTGTATTGTTAAAAAAGATGTCTGTTTTAAATAAATGCTGTTATTTTTAAATGTTTTATCCATCAAAGAATCCTGAAAAAAGCATCACAGTTTATATATATATATATATATATATATATATATATATATATATATATATATATATATATATATATATATA